GATGAACTCAGATATAACACAAATTTGCTACAGAAAAATATCAAAGGTATAATCTGAGTTATGAAGTCTCACGGTGTACGACACCTAAGCTGGTGAAGAATGATCCACTAATTGGTAATATGGTAGGTACAATATCACACCTATTACCAAATAATAGATAATGCATTGTTACTTATGTATTACACATCATAAAATATCTCGTAAATGCATGATTAAAATAGTGTTTCAACTAATACTTTGTATCTTGTAACTCGGCAGGCCTGATGAACTCTGGAACTTAGCAAATGGCTTCTTAGTAGCAGCATGCAACAGATAAACTTCAGTTGAAATACTGTTATACATACTTTTCACTAGAAACTCATGTTAGATCAATAAAGAAGGATATGTTTAAAATTATAATCATCAGTGTTACTGTGAGCAATATCACACTTACTACCAACTACAGTATAAGTTGAGTTTTTAATAACATACAGAGTACCACAAAAACCTTCATCCAAAACTCTTCAATATAATTATAATGAGAATAATCTTAATATAAAAAAACTAAGACTTTAATTCCCTCTTTCTAAAATGTTTATTACTATAACATTCTTTTGAACAAAAAAATCCAAAACTACATAGTTGTTTTGCAGTTAATGACTTAAATTAAATGATGTTTTATGGTTTACATTCAGTAACTACATTAACTACACTCTTTGCTTGTTATTACTGGCTCAATTATACAAAAGTAGGTGCATAGTAATTAATATTCAATACGGTGTAGAAGATTAATTTTAGTCTGGGAATAATGTAGTAGTTTTGATATAGAGAAACTGTTAAATGACCATATTTTTTAAAGTGTCTTTGCATTCTTGGAATCTTCTAAAGCTTTCTTTATCTGTTTCATCAATTTTTTATATATGGCTACATCAATGGCTTAAATGTTTAATTTTAAATTTGTTACACTGACTACTAACTGTAGAATGTTGTAATATTAAAAAGTAAGTTAATCCTATCAAAGTATTATTGTTTTCCATATTATTATGATAGTGTGTGTTTAAAATCTATATAAGTGTAACTGTTTAGACATAGCATAAAAGTGTATTCAAAATTAAAATGGCAGCTCTAAAGGTATTCACATACGTAGTTGTAAGAGCTTGTACGTATTAAAAAAACTGTTACCCTTAAGCCCTCTATTTTTACCTTCAGGTCTACCTCAGGTTACATACTGTGGTTTTCTTAGGTAAAACTAATATTAGGTCTGCAAAATATGAGGAGATTCAAAAAAGATTTTTAGTAACTAAGTTTGTGACAAGAAGGAAAGACTGGACACAATTATACAAAAATACAATGAACAATACTTGATATACACAAATACAATGGATGATAGCCAGCCGTTTTTACTGGATCACTAGCTATTTTCTCTCCACACTGACTTCAGTGAGATCCTATTACAGAATGACTAAACCTGACTTGGTAATGTCTCACTTCTCCAGAACTAGTGCTAACCATGTGAATAAACATTCCCATTCAAATATAAGAAAGGCTATAGCTTCAGGGCATCACTTGATCAACATTGAAGGACACTGCTGTTAATATTTCATGCATAAGGTGCAGCTTTGCAGACATAATTTCCATGAGATCACGAGTTGAGATATCTCAAGAGAATGACAAAGAACAAATGTATCTAGAACAAAAGTAACTTAATGACTTTCTAGTCTACATGTTATATGAAAACTGGCCATACACAGAATAACTAACAAATTTTAAAAAATTATACTGTACAACAAGAAGGTAGAAAATATATGGTATGCCTACATACCACATCTTTCTTTCCTCCTTTACTTCATGCTTGTCCTCAAACCAACAATTAATTTCAAACATAAAACCAATAAATCTATACACATGCACTGATCAAGTAACACTGTAACTTTCTCTTGCCCCTTTAACCCTTTAGGAACACCTGTTGCCATATGGCAACCACATAATGCAATTTGAATTTTCTGCTAGAAATGCAAATCAAGTGCATAAAATCAATAGACAAAGCCTAATCTGCACAGACGACGACCTCAGCCAACATGGTGTATGGTTTGGAGATGGCCTTATTCTCTAAAAAGTGGGATCCTCATCAACAACATGACATTTGCAGTTGAAAATTGTTTAATTTTTATGAGAAAATGGATCCAAAATGGCATCAAATTACTCCAGTGTTTTTTCACTTGAAGAGACAATTGAACTTGTGCAAGCTGACAGTGATTTTGACTCTGAACCTGAATTACCTGACACTGACTTTGAGTGTGATATAACTGAAAAAAAAAAAAAATGTCTAAAAGGTTAAACACTCACATGCTACACAGATAATAACAACCCTTTATCAAAGAAATACAATGCACTGTCAAACTATTTAACAATGAAATTACAATACATTTGAATAAAATAATTAAAAACAAAAAAATCCTTAACTCTATGTATTCCAAAAATTGTTTAATGCCCAATGACACTTTTTCTTCACCTATTCAGTGTATAGATTCTGCTCATAGTGACTACAAAGCACATTCACACCAACAGTATGTTTGGTGCATGGGGTTGTTTAGCACAAAGTCACTTCAACATAACATGACCTTTCAAGACTCATCAACTCTGCAAATAATAATAATAATAAAATACAGAAGAAAACAAGTACCTAATAATATATATTCTAAATGACTCATGTATATATATAAAGTGATCAATAAATCTTGTCTGAGGTCCTTTAGGTTTTGGCCCACAGTCAATATACTTCTCTCTCAAGTTGTGACAATGGATGTGATGGTCTCCTCCTGAGCCGGTCCTCTTCCTTGTTATACAAGACCTCTGTCTACCATGTGGTCATCTTTTGGTAATTTTATTTCAAAACGGGTATCTGGTGCAGAATGAGATGATCAGTGATGGCTTGAGGCAGAGTGATATGGAGCACTAACCTTGGCTCCCATTGGCTACTGGACCTCTTGATCAGTGGCTGCTTGATTGTTGCTGAGGTGGAGATCCCATGCTGGTTCTAAGAAATACCAGCTGTTGATATGGAGACTCTTTCATTTATCTTGAAGCTCCCTACCAAAGATGATGGTAAAAGCATGACTGGTGGTTAGGCTCTTACATATAGCTTGAATCATGCCAGTAATCATACTAGCAGTGATAGAGGGTGCTGTCAGAGTTTCCACACTACCATTTATGGTGCTGACTAAGAGTTGGAGAATGTCTTGTGTGCCACTTTCTAGTGACCCTTAAGATATTTCAGCTCTAAAAAAATATTTTTTTAGGCTTCAAGATGAAGCAGTCCTGATAAAGGAGAGTATACATCTGGTAGTACTTTCTAACTGTAATTAGACATCACCTGCTGGGACTCCTTAGGAACAAGTTTTGATGCCTCGATTCCTGCTTCACTGGAGGTTGTGCTGAAGTTAGCAATTGTGGCTGGACCACTTGCAGGCCCAGCTCAACCTGCATAAAGATGGTAATCAGCAATAATTTCTCCAAGGTTTTAGTGATCACTTTGTGGATCTGCAACCAACTGGAGCTATTCAGCCACAAGAAGCCCAACAACTAACTCAGCTAGATCCAATGCATCAGCAAGGTACACATCTTCATCCATACATTCTACAGGGTTGAAAGTCAGTTCAGATCCAGGAGTTTTTGGGTCAGAAACAAAATTCAACTCCTCTCCAAATAACAAACTCTGAGCATTCTGGTAATCATCAAAACTTCCTATAATGACAGAAAGCTAAAACAATTACATTGATCAAGCAATATTTCTGCAAGTTCCTCATGTACTCAAACTCAATTTTGCCTGTAGAAAGTGTATCCCTAACACCTGTGAACTTTTAAGTCCCAAAGGCTTTATTGTTCTTCCAGATACAAGTTTAGTGTGGTTTAGAATTTCAATGTTACTTTCCACTTCCAACACTTTTAAGCAACCATAACCGAATCTTGTGATGAAACAATGTTAAGAAGATATTTATAGAGCTTTACTTACAAAATATTTCAAAATATGTTGTAAATATCCCATTAGAACTAAATAAAATACTAGGTACACCAAATTAAAATTTGATATAATATTTAAGATACAGTCTGTGAATTTCATTTACTACTGATAGATTTACATACTCATAAATATTTCAATCCAATTGAAATATCTTGCAATACTCTAATTAAAAACCTCCATGTAAAACTGTATTTTCTCTCAGAAATAGATTCTTCATTACTCTTATCCTCTCATGAAAATTCACTACCTGTTAAACATTTCAATTTTGAAATTGAAACATTCTCTCACAAGTATTGACAAAAATAACGGGTGCACCATATTTTTAAATAATACCTTACAAACTGGTAATCACAGTTAACTTCATGTCACAAAATCTTAACATCCGGATCAAATCCTTAATTTCTATTCAAGTTAGTTAATAGTTACATCCTTTGTGTAATTGATCTAATTATGTTATTCAACCTCATGAATAACTTTATGTAATCTTCATACACATGTGTAAGACCACACACATATATTTACTTGCACACATATACTCCTATATACATATGTCTACATTACAAATAGTCACATACACTAGTAACTTAAAATAGAATGTCAATTACTTCTGTAACCTTTGGTTACTTTATGAAGCTACGACTCAGTAGTTGCAGTCCAGTAACATGCTACTGTGCATAAGCTGTCAAACGTAAAACATTTTTCTTTTCAGGCATCACAAACTACATAATTACTGACAGATTTCAGCTAAACTAGGACTTTTCAGCTAAAATTCTTCTAAATCAAGATTAATATTCATGCTGTTACTACAATATATTTCAATACACACTCAGAGGAAACACAATTTCTTCATGGGAAAATCA